TTCCGGTTCATACATGCACCATATCCAGATGGATCGTATTTATGATGGAAAAGGCCAGCATAGACACATCGGTGTTCAAGGCTCTCTCTACAAGGAGTGCATCAACTTCAAAAGCAGTGATTAGGAGTATGTCAGCTTCCAAAATCATCCATCGGGATAGATTGTAAGAAATGTCCACCTTTCAGAGATTTTATTATATGGAACCGAAGAGTTGTACTTTTCCAGACTGCAGTTCTCTCAAGGTAAGCTTTAAACTAACACGGGAATATCTTGCCGAGATTACAATATGAAATTGGAACTGAAGTCGTAATGTTGGTCTTCAGCAACCCATGCTTGTCGTAAGAGGCGACTAACTGGATCGGGTGGTCAGCCTCGCTGACTTGGTTGATGCATGGCATCGTATCCCAATTGCCTAGATCGATGCTCATGATGTCAATCTTTGGATTGTCTGGGCTAGATTTGATTATTTACAGACCGTCGTCATATAGCTGGAATGTTGCTGAGCGCGGCGTTAAACAAAAAAGAACAAACCAACAACAAACCTTATGTTATGAGTAATTGAGGCAAAATATGAAATGGTTACCATCCTTTTCCCCTTGATTCATATTCCCCAACTTACTTAATTGCCTCATTGCTTACAAACTGTTTTTCTTTCAGTTAAGAAGGGAGAATCATCAGCAGTCCGGCAAATGCCACAGAACAAATAAGCAATAATTCAAAGGATTGCATGGGACCAGAAGTTTAGTTTAGTGAGGAAAAGTGAAACTCGAAACTACAATAGAATAGTGTGATTCACAGACTGAACCACAGATGATCAGAAGTTCTATTTAGTGCTGAAATAGTGACACTCGTTACAATAGAATAGTGTGATTCACAGACTGAACCACAGATGATCCACACTTTGTGCCAATTTAACCATAGACGTGCCGTCCAAGGAGAACTGGACAATATTGTTTTGTTTTAGGTCAATGAGCGAAGTAACATTTGCAAAAGAAGCCCTTCTTTTGAGGAATATTCTTTAATAAAGTTTTTGTCTTCACACTTGGTGTGTTGTATCTTTTGTCTCGTTATTCTTCTTGCTGGCTCTTCGCTGGTAATGGAGAATGGTGTGATCTCGTTGAGTCTTGTCAGACTTTGAATTCAGCTTGTAACAGAGATAACACTTTCATATTTTGCCTCAATTACTAATAAAATTAGAATTCCATTTCACATACTACATGAAAACTCAAATTGTTATTCTGACTTGATACTGAAAGTCTGCTGGGGTCTGCCTCTGAACTGGTTGTCCATGTGTCACAAGCTAGCTCCACAGCAACAGAAACTTGTTATCTTTAAAGCGTCTATAAAGCCCGTCAGGTGAGTTGAAAGCGGGTTTAATGTCGCGTTCAAGATTATTACACCTATACAGCAACGTACATAAACGTGTGTGTGTTTGTGGCTGCTTGTACTTTTCCGGAATTACGCCAGTTTTATAGTGCTAGCCCAGCGAGAGACTATGCCGCAGTTTGACATGGATAACCCAGACAGACAGACAGACAGACAGACAGAGAAATTAGTCATTTTTCTAGAGGTCCAAAAATGAAACGAAAGTCAAAGCATACTGATAAGATACGCCCGGGAGTTCTGTTCTGAGTGAGACCAGTTCATCATCAATTACTGACTGCTTCATTGATATTGACATTTAGCTTGCAAATGAATAGTGCGTGTCATGATATTGTACCTTAATAATTGTGTTTTATGAATCATTCAACTTTGAATGATAAAAGATACCATTGCATCATCTACCAAAGCCATCTACTCATTTTTCGGATCTTTTTAAACAGGATGTCCCTTACAACGTATTAAGAATAAGGGGACATTGTCGCCAGCATCCCAATGTCTTGACAGAACACTGGCAGTGTATTGTACCAGTCTTCACAAGGGCCATCAAAATGTTCATTTAGGATTATCATTCGTGGACACCCCTATTTCCCCAAACCAGTATTTCAGTTATATGACGGCGTGTCAGTTTAATGTGGGAGGATAGCTCGAATTGATTAATTAGGTGGGTAGGCGCCACACTTAATTTCACACATTCTTTCCTTTCGGAGAAAGGCAGGTAGTAAAAGACTTTAGTGAAAGGACAAACATAAACCATTGCCAGTGACAGACTCATATTGTTCACAACACATTCGTGGTATTATTAGTCGGTAACTCGTACGTAAAATCACATTCAGAACCTCCTTCTTTAATGTAAATGACTCTTATATACTTATCGTCTCTTTACACTTATCGTCGTCTCATGCTTTCAGTAGATTTTAGTTATAAAGATAAAATCGTGTATCCTTATATAGGTTCTGTGTAATCTTGATCTAATGCCACTATTTTTCAATGATCCAAATCTATCTAATATCACGTTAAAAGCTTTCGCAGGAGTTTTGACACATTCATTGTGAGCTGACAGTATCGTGGTTTTCCAGATGCAGTTGTGGTATGAGGTCAGGATGCATGTCATCTACTTTTATGTAACACCTCGAATAGGAGGTCTCTGATACGATTTCATGTTTACATTGCCCATACAGAACTGTTTCGGAAATGAATCCTTCATGTCATTCATTGGCATCTTTCACTAAATTGTCTCAGCATCTGTCTATTTATCGATTGCAAGTGAACAGATATATATTTTAACTGTGTGTATTTGTTTGTTTGTTGTTCAACGCCGCACTCATCAATATTCCAGCTACATGACGGCGGTCTGTAAATAACCGAGTCTGGACGGGACAATCCTGTGATTGACATCATGAGAATCGATCCACACAATTGGGATACGATGACATGCATCAACCAATTTCATGTTTACATTGCCCATACAGAACTGTTTCGGAAATGAATCCTTCATGTCATTCATTGGCATCTTTCACTAAATTGTCTCAGCATCTGTCTATTTATCGATTGCAAGTGAACAGATATATATTTTAACTGTGTGTATTTGTTTGTTTGTTGTTCAGCGCCGCACTCATCAATATTCCAGCTACATGACGGCGGTCTGTAAATAACCGAGTCTGGACGGGACAATCCTGTGATTGACATATGAGAATCGATCCACACAATTGGGATACGATGACATGCATCAACCAAGTTAGCGAGCCTGGCCACCCGATCCCGTTAGTCACCTCTTACAACAAGCATAGTCGCCTTTTACAGCAAGCATGGGTTGCTGAAGACCTATTCTACCCACGATCTTCACGGTGTAGCAAAAGCAGTATCACTACGCGAGCTCAAATGTTAAGCTCACCTGAGCAATAAGGCCAAGGAAACTTACTAAGTATGTCAAGACGTTATTGTCTGTTATCGTCGTCGTCATGTTCTCCCATGAACCATAGACCTACATAACTGAAACGTGTTGCCAGCAATGACGCCTAAAATGCACTAGCAGCCATATTTGAAAACTCAAACCTGCAATTTGGACTAGAAACTACACCATGGGTTTAGCATATGTGTTCAACCTTTCACCAACTTGACATTAAACATGTCGAAACAGACATTGCTGAAACGTGACCCCAAAGAGTGCCGCTCTGAACTTGCCATAAAACCTTCTTAAATGATTCAGCATTCTCGAACGAACTACAGGTATCACGGACAATCAACTTCTTCAATAGTATCTGCAGCTGCTTCATAATCGTGTTAGAATGTGCATCGAGACGAGACGTAACAACAACTGTTATAAAGAAAGTCCAACTCAAAGCAAGTACGTGAACTGGTCACATGGATGCATTACACTGAGTCTTACTTCTGAACGCGTGTCATTAAATAATGATCAATATTATGCCTCAAAGTAACATTGACCAAGTAGAGAGTAGAACTCCTATGAGCCCATATACCGCCACTAAACACCCAAGACGGTTGTTACTGACCTTACATGAGACAGTTTACCGTCAGGAACAACCATCTTGAATAATCCAACACCCACCTCATATATTTCACATGAAAATTCTGGACACTGTTATGTGTTTTTATATCATTAATTGTGTTGTGCAAGGTCATTAACTTAAAATACATCACGTTCGTGACTGCATTAATAAAAATGATAGTTAAACATTTCAACAACGTTTGGTCTCTAAGGGTTAAGGAGAAGTCTCCCTTTTGTTCATAACGGCAACGGTCATAAGTGTAAAGTTTTCATTTTGACAAATGTGCGATAGATATACCAGACAGTGTGAACTTTTCGGGTTAATAAATTCGTCCAATATTTTTCTGCTAACCTATAAAGACAAAGTTTACGGCAACCAAAGATACCAATAGTATTAGTGTATCACTTGTTCAATGTGTTCAGATGGTTGCTTAACAACGTATTAAAAATGAAGATTCACACTTATATGTAACACTATTTATAGGACGTGTTTCTTGTGCAACTCCCTGGTCCGTTGTTAAGGCATATACTCCAAAAGGAATGAGTGTGTGGTTTTACGCCTTTTTTCCATCTTGTACCGACTATTTGAGACATTTATTACTTCAGTATCAGTGACAAAACAACATAGAATAGACTTTAAATGTATCAGTTTGTATCAAATGATCGGGCTGTAAAACATATCAGTGTACATGTATCAATAAAATACCAATGCAAGGGAACAACCAGTCTTGATTATCCGCCGAAACAGATTCCATTTGGCGTAAAGGAAAAAATAAATTATAGATAACTTAAGGTCATTGTTTGTTTGTTTTCTTGTTTAATGCGACACTCCGCAATATTCCAGCTTTATGACAGCGGTCTGTAAATAATCGAGTATGGACCAGATGACATGAGCAGCGATCTACGCAACTGGGATACGATGACATGCATCAACCAAGTCCCGTAAGTCGCCCCTTCGAAATGCATGGGTTGCCGAAGACCAATTCGAATCTTCCGGATCTTCACGGGATCATTAACGTTTGTTGTATGGTTTGTTGACACATCAGAAAGAGGTGGTCGATGTGTTACATGTACGAGCTTCTCACTAAGACTTTCAAGAAACAAGAAATGATTGAAGGGAAGAGACGAAATTTTTATTGAACATTTCAAACAGACCTCCAAATCATATCTTCTTTTGTCTCAGGTGATTCGAGCTTGAAATGTCAAATCAACATCAAAGACATGAAACCTATTACTGGCATTTGTTGTTTAACTTTAGGCTGCGTGAAGGAGGACTCCTCCATAGTAGGAGAAGAAGTTGCCATAAATGTTCAATGTTCCTTGCTGTTTTGTAAACCAGACTTTCTCCCCCTCGTTCATGTCCGTCATGAAGGTAAGAGGTGCAACGCTGTATTTATCTTCATACAAACCATACCCAATCGCAAGTGTAACACCTTCTTTGATCAATGCAATATTTAGGTACCCATTGTTATATCCCAGGATGTTGGCCCAGAAGAGGTAGGTGCCGGACACGGGAGCTTCAAATATACCGGAAGTAGCATGGTACCCTCCTCCCTTGTTGTCTGTGACTGTGTCAAATTTGAGAACCTCTTGCTTCTGGACAACCTTATGTTGATTTAATTTCACTTGGAAAGAAACGAATTCATGCGATCTTTCTGAAATCAAAATATTCAAACTCACGACATATTGATTTCAATAACACAATAGCCTTCAAAAATTAGGCACTGGCATTTCATACGAATAACCTTTGAAATGTAATGCATTCATAATTCATAAGTTGTCATAAAATTACATCCGTCAGTATAAGTATTAGATGTAAACCTACATAAAACAGTCAATATGCAAAAACATATTTCACAGAAGCCAGATATTTAATTTTATTATACAATGGGTTGGTTTCTTGGCAGGACAAAGCCAACGGATACAGACGATATCCGTTGGGGTCATATGCGGATAGAGATGCAAATACCAAAGATAAAGTAGGGACAACTTTCAGTGTTTATAAACAAACATTATTCAGCGATCGAGTCAGAGTTAACCATCGGGAATCTGGAGAAACTACTGGGATAATTGCTATCATTATCAAAAGAATAGTCTAATATCTAACTGAGAAGGTAGAATAGGTCTTCAGCAACCCACGCTTGCCATAAAAGGCGACTATGCTTGCCGTAAGAGGCGACTAACGAGATCGGGTGGTCAGGCTCGAAGACTTGGTTGATGTATGTCATCGATCCCAAATGCGTGGATCGAGGCTTATGATATCTATCATTGGATTGTCTGGTCCAGGCTCAATTACATACAGACCGCCGTCATTCAGCTTGAATATTGCTGAGTGCGGCGTAAAACAACAAACCAAAAGTTTGGGAAACTTTGGAGATATCTGGAGCAGTTGCCATATCAGTGCTTGTGCAGACCTCTGTTGCTTGGAACCTTTTCCACAAATTAAAACAGTCGGATTTGGGAGAAATATGCCCGAATTGTTACCTTGTTGTGTCTGGACATCTGACAGAACTTCGTAACGTTATGACAGGACAGGCCGACTGTCAAAAAACGTCCGACTGGCCGTGACGTCTCATAAACTAGGGTTAGAGTAGCTTCCTCTTGATAAAGGGCAGTTACTCTTGCGGGCAGACCGATGGATTGCCGCGAAAGGCAAGGAGAAACAAGTTGTGTAAGCAATTGTTGTTTTGCATATATATATATATATATATATATATATATATATATATATGCTACGCCACTGTATAAGAAACAGGTTCAGCTGGAACTATATTGGCTACTGTCACTGTCCGACTGACACACTAACCTTCTGACGTAATATATATTAATGCGTACATTCCAGGAAAACTTTAAACAGCAATGTTTAGGAAATGTGTGTGAGAGATTGAAGGAAATTTTTGAGCACAGAATTGAAGAATGACATTATATACTGAACAACAAAAGTTACTGTGACATTGAATAAGCTTTAATGCAAAGTTATGTTTTTTTTACCAAATCTGAATCAATTTCGGTTTGCAACAGATAAAAGACTCTTGTATGTGTTCAAAGGGTTTAATTTGCCATACTGACTTAAGAAAATGCGTGATTTCATAAAAAAACATGAACATGGCAAAATGTCAATTTAAAAATCAATAGCGTGTGTAGGAATAAACACTATGTATTTAGCTCGCCAAAGCTCGCTAATACAATGTTTATTTGAAATACAGGATATTTACCATCTCCAAACACACTTGCGTGATAACCTCTCTATATATGCTTATCAGTTGCCCATATCTTATATTATACTTATCGCACAGAATGCATATATAACACTCCATGGAATATTATCGTTTTGTGATAAAAATCATTATGGATGTTTTTACTGTTTCGTTATGACGACTATGTGTAACACTCCGTCTTGCGGGAGACTTGATCACTCCCTCATTGAAGCGATGTTATAGCTACATGTGTATGTACGACATAATACTTTAAGCATATGCAACTGGACGTTAAACAAGATATCCATCTCACAATTGATAAATGTCCAGCTATGGCTATCGGAGGTAAATTTATGATTGTAGAATCAATACCCTTTTACAAAATAGGCTGAATGGTGCTTTAGGTATTACAGACAAATTTTGATAATGTGAATACCAGTATATAAATATATTAGGAGTAGCGCCGCCTGGTGAGAAGTTGTTACCACGCACATTTGACGAACTCCGTCGATAATTACGATTTCGAGCTGTTAAAACATATTGAAACAGCGTGGAGACCCGTAAGTTACATGAATCTTTTAGAACAAACTGGACTGCGACGATGTATCGTTTAGCCGTAAGATTGCTCTGGATATGGATCAAACCTGTCCTGCCATGATGAGAGATAGCCGCCCACATCATAACGCTACCCCCAACAAACCTGTCCAATTCATGTACGCAGTTTCCGGCGTAACGTTCTCCCCGACGTCTGTAGCCCCGTGCTCTTCCATTACCTCCACGGAGGTGAAATATTGATTCTCCGCTGAAACAGACATCTCTCCGTCGTAGGTAAAGCCATACCCTGTGTTGACGACACCAATGCAGTCGTTGTTGTCGACTAAAAGGACGTCTTGCTTGTAGACCTGCTGCTCTTAAACGGTTTCGTACGGTCTGTTCGGAGATTCTGCGCAGTCTGGGTATTTGGGATGCGGTTGAGGTAGTTGTGAACGTCCTTTCACGTATGTGGCGCAGTCGGCTGTAGCGATCTTGGGCGGGGGTGGTTACTCTTGGTCGTCCCGACCTAGGCCGATCATGGTGTTGAAACCAATCCAAAAGCCTTGTGATGGTGCTGGGCGCTACATTGAAAACCCTGGCTACAGCTGATCGGGATTCCCCTGTCTGCAAGCGGCCTGTGACGTTGTTTCTTTGCACTTCTGTTAATCTTGGCATGTTGTTGAACTGTCACTGTTCGATTGACGCAGATGCCAGGCGATCAAAAAACCCTGCACTTTAATAGCGTTCATAGTGCTGCTGCACGTGCAGTGCCTGCAGCTCCATTACCTTTTTGTTTATGCACTGGGTGCGTTTTTTCCGAATCGTGCGTGATTCCCGACTAATGGTTTGCATGTCCTTCTTGTGATAATTTTGATCCGGGAAATTTGTCACTGACACTATAACACATTACACCTCTTCATTTTGCACCTCTTGGTCCGCTTATTTTGCTTTATGGCTAAAATATCCGTTTTGCGTTTCCTTTTTCGAAGAGAATATTTCTGTGTCTTTATATTTCTGTATATCACTTCGACTAGCGATCTATACTTTACTTATTTCTGTGATCCCTTCCTACTCTACTTTGGCGTCATAAAGCTCTCCTGATGGGAAATCGAAACAGTAGACATGACGTCACAGTACGCAACCATCAAGTTGCGATAGTAAAACGTCAAGCTTTGTCGATGTTACTACAATACATTCTCTAAGTATTTGTTCGCCAAGTACTCTACCTGAAATATGTTGCCAAACTCGCTGTGAATAATGTTGGAACCTCAACATGTACTATTGCAACGTCAATAAGGTGAGTCGTGTTTGCGAAAGAAGTGCCTTTGAATAAATACTTTTTTCGGTTATGCGGTCAGGTTTTCTACGTAGACTGGCTAACAGTTGTAAATGCTTACTGTATGACGTGACAACTACATAATCAAAATAATTTATTCAAAATGTAGGCCTCTCGGCACTAACCTGTCCCGACTGGTAACATCACAAAATGTTTTAATTTATAGATACATTTGCAAATTCAATTGGCTTCAAGTGATACAACAGACTTCCCTACAACAGCATTCGTAAATAGGAAACAAATTCATCCTCAGAAAATACATTAAACAACGTTGAGCTCCTACTTTCCAGTCTTCCTTTTGTTTGTTTCACATGTTTAATATAGTATTGATATATAAATAACATATTGGATGGCTGTAGATATTTCTTTCTGAAAACTGTTATACATTGGACAAACAAGCAAAGTTTATCCAAATCCTAAAGAAAATATTCATTTACGTATATCACCAGCCCAGACTCTCCGACCAGCATTGTCAAGGGGTGTAAGCAGAAGAGTAACATTTCAATATCTATTCTATATTTACGGATAAATCTTTAAGGCACAATGTTGCTTTTATGACTTGTTGTGATACATGTAAATGAGTTCAATTCCAAGATATATCAGTGGTAATAATCACTCCGAGGTACTTGTGAATAATTACTGCATGCTGTGTCTAGTTCTTCCACGTGGAAAGGCGATGGTGTGTGATTTCTTACTGTTTGACGTGCCAAGTTCTTCCTCGTGGACAGGCGATAATTTATGAATACCTACTGCATGATGTGCCTTCTTCCTCCTCTTAGACAGGCGAAGGTTTCGTGAATTCTTACTGTTTGACGTGCCTAGTTTTTCCACTTAGACAGGCAATGGTGTGTGAATTCTTACTGTTTGACGTGCCAAGTTCTTCCATGTGAACAGGCGTTTGTTGGTGAATACCTACTGCATGACGTGCCTGGTTCGTCCACGTAGACAGGCGATGGTGCGTGAATACTTACTGTTTGACGTGCCTAGTTCGTCCACGTAGACAGGCTACGTTGTGTGAATACTTACGGGAGGACGTGTCAAGTTCTTCCACGTACACAAACGATGGTGTGTGAATACCTACGGCAGGACGTGCCACGTTCTTCCACGTGGACAGGCGATGGTTGGTGAATACTTACCGCATGACGTGCCTAGTTCTTCCACGTGGACAGGCGATGGTTGGTGAATACCTACTGCAGGACGTACCAAGTTCTTCAACACGTACAGGCGATAATTTGTGAATACCTATTGCATGATGTGCCTTATTCTTCCACTTAGACAGGCGATGGTGTCTGAATACCTACTGCATGATGTGCCTTATTCTTCCACTTAGACAGGTGATGGTTGGTGAATACTTACCGCATGACGTGCCTAGTTCTTCCACGTGGACAGGCGATGGTTGGTGAATACCTACTATATGAGTACCTAGTTTTTCCACGTGGACAGGCGATTGTTGGTGAATACCTACTGCATGACGTGCCAAGTTCTTCCACGTGTACAGGCGATAATTTGTGAAAACCTACTGCATGATGTGCCTAATTCTTCCCCTTAGACAGGCGAAGGTTTCGTGAATACATACTGTTTGACGTGCCTAGTTCTTCAACGTGGACAGGCGATGGTGTGTGAATACTTACTGTTTTACTGTTTACCTACTGCAGGACGTGCCTACTTCTTCCACGTGGATGGTTGATGAATACGTACTGCATGAGTACCTAGTTGTTCCACGTGGACAGGCGATGATCGATGAATACCTACGACAGGACGTACCAAGTTCTCCCACGCGGACAGGCGATTGTTGGTGAATACCTACTGCAGGACGTACCAAGTTCTCCCACGTGGATAGGCAATGGTGTGTAAATATCTAATGCATGATTTACCTAGTTCTTCCACGTGGACAGACGATTGTTGGTGAGTATCTACTGCAGGAAGTACCAAGTTCTTCCACGTCGACTGTGGATGGTAGGAAACGGATTAGCAAGACTTACTGGATGTGCACGGGGTTCTCCTTTCCAATAGTGTTGATTTAAATGCCAAAAGCTGACGTTCCACATCCTCGAGTCTGGCGTTGATGTTTTCCCCATCTCTCTGCTTGTCTGGGCTGGACTCTAGGGCTGGGGTGAAGAGAGCGAAGGTAAGAAACACATAGGCTTTCGCGATGTCTCTTGTGTGGATACAATCAGACTAGTGCTTTCTGCTGTCCTGCTTAATGTTAATGTAATAAACTAAATGAATCATTGAACTTCAATGAGTTTTATAATCGGTCTATCTAATTATTAGGTCTTCGTATTGATGTACAATACACATATACCATAAGAAACGTGTATTTTATGTCAGAGACTTGCTAGATTGTGAACACTTACTATTGCTACGAGTTGTTCTGTCATTGAAAGCCAGTCGGGCAATCACGGATTCCAGTGTACTTGATTTGTCTAACCCAGATCCCGCAGCGAGAACTAGTGATATCAGAGCGACAATGCTGCAAATGATGACTTTCTCCATGATGTCAGTTGTGTACAGACAGCTGGCATCCAGCGTTCATTTATAGTGTCCGGGTACGTTGTATTTGCCAACATGTTGCAAAGGTGTGATATATATGAAACTCCCATATGTCCACAACAACTGATCTGATATTTAATGCGCCTAAAGAGCTGATCATGCGTATGTTCTAAACTCCAGATGGCACACACCCAAAATTAATGCAAACCGGACTTGTATGAGTTTGTATGCATGAGTAGACCAAGTAGGTTAATGAAATAATATGATTAAATTGAAGGATTTGGTATCTTCTCATTAAGGCTAAAAAGACAAACAGACAATGATGCGCCATTATTGAAGCATCACGGATTTTCATGTTTGCCATCATATACAAAGGTACCTGGAACAAATTGACAGTAGCATTTTACTCATTTTTCGTTGGATAATGATAAGATAGGATGGGATATGAAGTAGTGGACAACACAGAACATCTACAACAAAGACGAGAGAAATGGGTTTTACACGTACATTTAGTACCATAATCTGTAGATTCATAATACATATAGTATTTTGTCATACCACATGTAATTGTTTCTTTCTTCAAGTCGCTTGCACTGTTCCCTCTCCAGAGTCTTTCCTTCTTGACAGAGGACCAATTGCTGATGAGCAATACAATATAATTGCAATACTGTTAAAATATAACTTGAAATCCAGTAATATTCAGGCTATATAATCGAATTTGGACCAGACAATGTATCATGCATCATTCAAGTGTGCGAGCCTGACCACCCGATCCCGTTCGTCGCCTCTTACGAAAGAATGGGTTGCTGAAGAACAATTCTAACGCGAAATCTTCACGGAATTGCATACATCTAATTTATCCTACATTATAATGTAAACATATCCTTCCAGTTAAGCATTTTTGTTGGGCATTTGGCGAAGGTTGACATGGTTAACTTATGGAATTCTAATTCTTTATTCTTTTAATGTGACGGTGCAGGTTCTTGTAGCAGTAGTCATCAATTGGGTAAGGTATTATTATAATGGTTTTACAGCTAATATTACATATACACTTAGATCAACCAAAACATGAAAATAGGTGACAAGTCGCATATGATCTTTGACATATATACTATTCAAAATTAGGATGGGGCCGCTGCCGTCCACTTCCGAGTAATGGTCATGACCGCATTCCGGATCCATTGGTTCGTAAAATTGTGTACGTCAGATTCACGTCGATCTGAATACAAACCAGCTTGAATAACATGTTGTCGTGGTCCACGTAAAGTAGCTCATTAAAGAAGTAGTTACGTAACGTTCTCGAGTCCGCTGCTGATTTTACACACCCCTTCACAAGCTCGGCTGGAGTGCATATTAAAGAAATAATAGAATTGTTCATACTCCTTACTTCAAAAACAATGTATAAAAATACATCTAATATTTTGATTGAAAATTTCGTCTATTTAGACCGTGCCTGAGATTTTCGTTTTATCTGCAATATGTTTTTCGGTCCCTGCTTCAATATGTGATTATTTGCTCCGAAATTATCTTTTAAACATCCATCATTTAGTTTCCAGACCATAAACTCCCACCCCCTCAGAATATCAAATAGTTTGTTGCCTATCTAAATTGCATTAATTATTGAAAAGAATATTTTAATAACTTCCTAGAATTTAGATTGCTAGAAAAGGATGAATTGGTACTTTGTTGGGAGTAATCAGTATGGTGCAATATTTAAACCAAACTTGCCAACTTAACTAAGTTAACGGACACATATTAACAATTGGCTTCTAGCAAATTCCATTTTCTGAACAATTTTATGGCAGTATATAACGTTTCACTAAATCCTGAAACTCAATGTTAATCTTGGTTTAGCACTACCCATGTCTGCAATCTACATCTGTTCCTTTATGGTACAGCGAAGATCCAGAAGTGGATACCTAAATAGACTCTTAAAAAGTAAAGGGATACTCGGAAATAACTTAACATTTCCAAAATTGTAAGCGATATTAGTTCCTATAGTAATAGTTGTATGATAATTATTAAGGAATATGGAACACAATGCAAACGGTAGTGAATTATGACAGGAGATGTGACCGCAAATGATCTTGATGGACGATAGGGTTAAGATGGGAAATTTCAAAGTTTTTGAAAAGTAGGGCGTAATACTGCCACGATTTGTAAAACATTCATTCACTCGACGAATGAGTCTCCCAATGGCGATTTGAAGGAGTATGTTCAACTCCTGTTACAGCGCCTGGCCAACTTCAGAAAACGTATTTGGTGGGCTATGACTTTGACACACATGTCTCCCTATCATGTCCCAGATGTGGACAAAGGGGGAAAGGTCTGGGCTCATTGTTGGCCATGAAGTTCTATTGATGTTGTTCTCTTGGAGGTGAGCATTGACGATTCGTGAACGGTGAGCTCGGACGTTGTCATCCTGAAAGACAAAACGTCGACCCACACGCCTCCAAAACGAGCCAAACGAAGGATGACAGTGTCTTGTCCCTATAGTACGTTCCAGTGACCCTTCCTTGCACAAAAAAGAGTGGGGTTTGCTCAGTTATAGTGATGCCAACCCGCCAAATCTGACATAAAGTCTCGGGTTGACATTGGCTTGACGTTCTTTTCGACGTCGCCACCAGACACGACCACGCCTGTCAAGAAAGTGCAAAGTGAATCGGGACTGATGTGAAAACATGACACGTGACCAGCCACGATTACCCCTATTTCGACGTTGTGTACACCATTGACATCTGTTGGCAAAGTGACGATTGTACATGGCAAGGGGCGATAGTACTAGTACGCTATGGCACAATGTGTATAAATTTCTACGTCGTTCTTTTCTCCCACACCAAGCTGACATGCAGCGTGATTACTGAAATACTATCCAAGTAGCGACAAGCCAAACACACCCACTCATTAATATTATTTCTTGGCTTGCTAGTGCAGTTATAAGATGCAATAGTCAATATTGTCAGAATTCCTTTTCCTCCCGATCAGTATATGTAATTTTATAAATGTTCTGCAGACCATGTTGTTCGAATCCCCTTTTTTCAGAACTGTTCCACAGCAGTTTCAAATGTATTGATTAATGAAAAAACCCACAATAACTATGATGAATGATGAACAATGCACAATGTCTTTTTTTAAATATAATTTCCGGAACAGTACATCACTTCGAGGGTGATGTCACACTAAGGAACCTTTTTTTAAAAACGATATTCTTGGAGAATGGGAGAGCTCTTGGAGAGCAGGACAGCCGTCACCTGGTTTCATTACTGATTTTCAGTGATCCATTCATATAACTTCCATTACTATTTTGCCCTTTACGGTCCTTGGAATCTGTTTTGGCATATTTGTAGTCCGGGTTTTCAGCAGGAATTCACAGGGTTACAAATCAGGAAAGGATAGTTTATCCCCTCCTAGATCTAGTTCTAAGTCTGGTTCTGAGTTTGTTGACAAAAAGTCAACAGCAAGTCTGTAAGGTAAGAGTTAACGTCAAAAGATCAATTTACACAATCATGGTTCCACTATTTACACTATCAATAGTTCAACTATTTATTTGAATGTCAAGCCTTCGATACAACAGTAGTAGATATATACGCGAAAAGTGTTATTTATTGCCTAATCTTTATAAACTCAAACATTTACTGAGCACAACGATAATAGCAGAAATGAGGATTTTGTCGAAGCTTTTTTCCAATGTCAACAAATACTTTAGAAATAATACTTAAATGTACTCTTCCCGACTGAATGATCACTGTTGTTGAACATATATTTGTTCGTAAAACACGTCTTGTACAACCGTGGGTGGTTCCATGAGAAGAACATAATTGAATTGAAATTGAATTGAGTTTAGAAGGCCAGTCATCAAAGTCTGTTGTTTTGATAGGAGAGTACTCACGTTTTGTTTGTAAAATATCAAAGCGGTAGACCCTCTAAAGGGGACGACCAGATCCAACTGTTCAATAAGTTTGGATCCTTATAAGGCATGGATGTGTCCGATAACAGCCATTATAGGACACATAGCTCGTGACGCTCAAGGAAGGTGAGCGGTAGATCCCCAGTTAATCCTCAAAGAGATAGTTTTGTCGCATATTCGTCAGAGGACTGAGGACTGATATTAATGAATTGCAGTTATTAGTCGAGGATTTTAAACCGTCAGCATTTTGTCTACAAGAAACCTTTTTAAAGCAGACAGACAATTTTAACTCAATGCGTATCATTTCTGTTTCTCCTCCTGGCGATAAGGCTGATGGAGGAACATCAATCATTGTACCGTGATATAAATGGAATACTGTTAAAAGCGGCGTTAAACCCAACTCACTCACTCAATCATTGTGAGGCAGGATATTATCCATAGCCATGTTATACTACAAACTAATCCTCAAACTGTTGCAGTGCGACTAACTTTGCCCCCTTAACTCTCCTGCCCCCGTGCCCCCGAGGGGACCAGCGATAGATAGGTATGTGTCCTCAGCACCCCATTGCTGGTCGTAAAAGGCGACCGAATTGTGCAACCTGTTTGCCGTGGGTTGCGCCCCTGTGTCGGTGGAGGACGGGATTCTGGTGGTTGAGGGTACTTGAACCAGAAACAGGCGTTCCTTTTGCCCAACACACCACTTCGACC